CTATGTAGGACTATTTGCTATCGATATAATGGGACACTATTGAAGTGGTATCGAGATGAAATCGATATGATGAGTCTATTAGCCTTTCCTCTACTATAAAGAATCGAGGACTACATTGTGGGACCTACCCTCCAATCGAATAGTTTCATCATTAACAGAACTAAGAGTCGTATACATGTTTGTGTTTAGATTTGCTTTTGGGTTAATGCTTCAAAGTAAAAGAATACAACTTTGTAACGTATTGACTTGACTAAGGTTAGCTACAGAAGTCTCAAAGAGCATAAAAGAACTTCTCAAAATCAGGCTTTCGCCTTCAACCAAATTAAAAATAAATACTACTATTACAATTAGTGGAATATTATACTCAAAGATTTGCAAAACGTTGCTGCCCAAACAGTGAAGGGGAGAATTTGGGTTTCAAAAAAGATAGAACCAAACACACTAAAATAATCTGAAAAATAAACTAAAGAAAATAAGAGAAATTTCCCTAGAGAAGAGAGAGACCATGAATCCATTTTCTAGGAATGGCCACTGAAGATATACCTTTTGGTGATAGAAAGAGCTATAACCAATGAAGCAAAATCGACTAGTATTCTGAATCCAAAGCAGGATACATTCATCTTTTATGTTAATTATGATGACTGAACTCAAGTGTGACAGTACAAGTACTTTGTTTTACATAATGCACACCATTACATGTGCTAATGACAAAGCCCTCAGACCATAATTTTATTTCATCACAGACTTATTCTATAGATATTATAAACTATAAGATATATCTGCTTCATGGGCAGAACACAACCCTATAGTTTGTCCCGCCAGGGCATGTAAATGTGCTTGTTTGGTCATCCTTAGGGTAGCTATAAGCATCCGGGCACCGATTCTTAAAAAACCTAGACAAGTCTGTAGGGCCACAGCTCCCGGAATTGCAGCAATATTGATCAGTCCTGAACACAGTGCAAGGGTTGTTGCAGCCTCCTTGAGCCCTCAGTTGGTTAGGACACTGGCCATTAATATCAGCGGTACATCTGATGCCCCTGGTACACCCATTAGACGTGGGGCTAAAGTCCATAGGGACGTTGAAGCCATCAACAAGGGAAATGTCAAAGAAATCCAAGTTGTTGTACTGGTTAAGGGCATACTCAGCTAGGGTGTTTGGGGGTTGGCCATAGGCTTGGCATTGGAGGACACCCCCACAATCACCTGTTTGACATCTTCCACGTCCGGCTCCATCAAAGTTGCATCCGGTTCGGGCCCAAATGCGAGCCCCTTGGGTTCCAGCAGGCACATCTAGGGCCCAACTTTGGCGTGGATTAAGTTGGCGTCCGCCGCCTGGCTTGGCTGCTGCCCAGACTGTAAAGCCGCAGTTGTTTCGGATATTGAATCGAGCTGCGTTGGTTGATGCAAAGAAGAGAGTGGCACATAGGATGCAGAAGGCTGGGAGGTTCTTGAGGATGCTCATAATGCAATTTGTTTTTTTTATGCATTTGTTGTTAAGGTTTCTTAAGCTTATATAGAGCGGGGCATGGCGACATATATGACATATTATAAATATGAAAA